AGTTCGAATTAGGAGCTTTAATTCAAACTACAGAGTCCGTGCCGCGTGTAGCACCGGGCAGGTAGTTCGAACTACGGGGCTACATGTAAAATGGTGGCGCCCGGGAACAGGCAAATGAAGCCCAAGATATTTAAATCCCGGGCTTCATTTGCAAGTTCGAATGCCTACATTAGCCACCCTAGTTTGAACTACAGTGGCAGTGTAGACATACCCTCACAGAGTACTACAGGTTGCACCTATCAAAACCGGCACGACCAGGGATGTTCATGGATCAGAGAGCCTGGTAGTCTACTGGCAGGTGGGCTATCCAAGAGCGGGCCTGGGATGAAATAGCAGCACAGGCCTGGGGTGGGGGCTGGTGGCAGCCCTGAGCAGCCCACAGCAGTGGTACTGGAGCCAGCAGCACCCCCCCCCCAGCAGCCTGCAGCAGGGAGGCTGGGTCCGGTGCAGCATGTGACAGCCCGTGATAGTGCAGGGCCAGAGCCAGAGCCCCAGGTAACCCGTGGGAGTTGGGCCAGAGCCCACAGGCTGCCACAAGACAAGAGTTTGAGCCCTCGGCAGCAGGACTGGAGATGGCAGCAGCCCCATCAGTGTATGGTAGCGCGAGGCTGAGGCCATAGCTTGTGGGCTGCTGAGGAGACAGAGCCCATGGCAGCAGCCCCTGGCAGTGGGGCCAAGGTCGGACAGTGAGGGCTGCTGGAAACCGCAGGCAGCTTCTATCCAGGGCAGCAGCAGCACAGCTGGCTGGGGCTAGTAGTAGTGAGCTGGAGCTGGCAGCACTGAGGGTCAAGGGCCGAGGGACTGTGGCAGGGAAATTTCCTTAATCTGGCAAATTCCCTGCTTTGGGACTGGTCAGGTCCTGAGGACGCTGATCCAGGGCGGTCCAACTTGTACTAATTCTATGGCATGTGTTATAATAGAATCCTGAGGTTCCAGTAACATCAGGGCCACACTGAGCTAAGCATTATATAAAACCAATCATGAGACACGTTACCTGTCACAAAATTCATGAGCTCGTTAAAGATCAGATACGTACCAAAGAAGGCGGATTAGGAAACAGGAGGAAAATATGCCTACACAGACTAGCAGGTATACAAATGTTCATGTTTCAAATAAAACCAACTGAGTGACTTGAAACCTGCATTAGACATTTTCTTAATCCTAGTTCCTCCTACATTTGTTACACCCACTTCTTGCATTTTGTATAAGTTCTTTGAGGATACAGTCTGTCCCTTTCTCTAGGTCTGTGTAGCCTATAGGGCTTACCTGTAGAAATAAATAAGAAATATATCTATTTCCTCATGATTTTTATTACGTGGTTATTACAAAACATTTCAATAGGTTTATATTAGTTTGACTATAATGCAAGGAGCCTACACGCCATATCCTGTATGTTGAGCAACGGCAAAGTTAACATATCTCACCCAAATAACAAGGTTGGGTTACATATGCATGGGACCTTTCATGTAGACAGCAAAGTCAATGTGCATATATTCAGGACTTTCTACCTAGATAGACAGAAATAAGATAAAACAACCTTTAATAGAATAGGGGCTTCCAAGTACACCCTCAAACATAAGAGGCACACCATAACTTGGAAAACCCTAAAAAAAATACTGTTAAGACCAGACTGAATAAGTGGTCAGGACAGAAATAAGATAAGAACATAAGAATGGCCGTACTGGGTCAGACCAAAGGTCCATCTAGCCCAGTATCCTGTCTACCGACAGTGGCCAGCACCAGGTGCCCCAGAGAGGGTGGACCGAAGACAATGATCAAGCGATTTGTCTCCTGCCATCCCCCTCCAGCCTCTGACAAACAGAGGCCAAGGACACCATTTTATCCCCTGGCTAATAGCCTTTTATGGACCTAACCTCTATGAAATTATCTAGCTTCTCTTTAAACTCTATTATAGTCCTAGCCTTCACAGCCTCCTCTGGCAAGGAGTTCCACAGGTTGACTACACGCTGTGTGAAGAAGAACTTTCTTCTGCCCTTTGCCTTGCAGCTGCCCCTCCCACTGGGGAAACCTCCGGCTTTCTATGCAGGGCAGGGGAGGGAGAGGAGTGATGCTGATGTCAGGGTGCCCCCTCCCACTCTGTAGCCTTTCTCCACAAAGCATGGAAGAGGCACAACAGGACTTGGGATGCAGTTTGCTGGCTGCTTTGGGGAGTAAGCCTGCCTTAGCCCCACTGCATCGCCACCCAAAAACCACCTGAGGTAATCAGTGCCCACCTGGAGCCCACATCTCAAACTTCTACCCCAATCATGAACCCCCTCCTGCACTCTAAGCCCCAAGCCCTCCTGCATCCAAATGCCATCCAAGAGCCTGCACCTAGAACCCCCTTCCACATCCCAACTGCCTACCCCAAGGGCAAATCAGAGCCCTTTTCACACTCCAGATCCCTTAATCCAAGGCCAGAGCCTGCACCCTAATCCCCTGCCCTAGCCTGTTGAAAGTGAGTGAGGATGATCAAGAGAGAGATGATGGAATGAGCAGGGGCGTAGGAGAAGGGGAGGGAAGGAGGCAGGGCAAGGGCATTTATATTTGAGGTAGATCCTGGATTGCACTTATATTCAAAAAGTGATCTTGTGCTCAAAAAGGTTGGAGACCACTAGTTTAGAGTACTAAAACACTGCAGGCTTCAATGGACATAGCTGACACCTCAGCTAGATCCACAGCAACTACAGTCATCATATCTAGGGCCTCCAATTTCACAGCCACCACATTTCCCTGAGAAATACACTCTACCATGGAAGACCTCATGTTTGAAGGGGAAAAGCTGTTTGCCAGCAAAATCAATTAAGTCCTCCATACAATTAAGGACTCATGAGCCATGCTTTGCTCTCTAGGAATTCAGACCCTGGCCACAAGGAAAAGGCAGTATAGGTACCAATCATGCCAATGTCCTAAGTACACCTCCTATACCCAACAGAGGCCATACAAACAACAACCATACCAGCAAAGACAAAGGACATAGTGTTGACACCAACCAGCTACATGGACAGACCAACGTCCAGCCTTCAACGAATTTGAAATGTTGGTCAAGGGTCTTGAAGACCTCCTACTGGTTTCAATACTGGACACAACCATCCTATTCTTTGGGGATTGCCTATGCAACAACTGGGCAGCTATAACTCAAAGGCTCCCAACCTCCACCTATTGTGAGATCACATTCCAATAGATCTATTTCCACTTGGAGTGGAGTACCCACAGGGACATCTCTCTCAAATAAGGGTAGGTTACTCACCTCGTTCTGTAACTGGCATTCTTCAAAATGAATGTACCTGTGGTTGTTCCACTATCCACCCTCCTCGCCCTGCTTTAGAGCTAAACAAGCTGTGACATAGAAAAAGAACTGAGGGGACAAGTCAGTGCACTCGACACTTTAATGGACATCAGTGCATGAGGCAAGCACCATGTGTGCACAGCTCATACTGCTAATGTACTTAAAAAACATTTTGTTATTTCTTTTTGAGTTTTTGGCTAGCTGTTCCTCAAAATCTTTTTTTGCTTTTCTTATTACATTTTTACACTTGATTTGACAGTGTTTATGTTCCTTTCTATTTATCTCAGTAGGATTGGACTTCCACTTCTTAAAAGATACCTTTTTGTCCCTCACTGCTTCTTTTACATGGTGGTTAAGCCACGGTGACTCTTTTTTAGGTCTCTTGCTATGGGATACTTAACCACAAAAGGGTCATGGCAACGAATTAAGGTGTAAGATAATAAGTGGAGATCAATGATTCGCTGATCTATAGAAAAAAAGACTTCCCCATCAGTAAGGTGAGGAAACACGGAGAAGAAGAAAGGGAAGCACCACTATTGAATATGCCTCAAACATAACATCAGTGTAACATCTTCTCAATGTGGTATCCCAGCCGGGGCGGTAAGAGGAGGAGATGAAATCCTTGGGAGAGGTGGTGCCAGAACAATGGCTACTAGTGGTGATGAGGAGGAAGGTGATAACACTTCAAGTTATTCTCGAAGGAACAGTGTGAGTATATGGAAGTATAGATGAACATTCACTATCTAATTAAGCTGGGGTGAGTCTGACTGTGCTAAATGTATTAATAAACTATATTTTTAAATATACAAGAGCTCCTATAGTGCAAGCGTTGTAACTATGCACATCAGCATTCTCAACTACAGAATAATTTAAATACAGGGCCTGATCCTGGGACAAGAACCTGTGACTACACAAAGCAGTAACTGGAAATGAGGAAGAGGGGGAGGGATAGCTCAGTGGTTTGAGCATTGGCCTACTAAACCCAGGGTTGTGAGTTCAATCCTTAAGGAGGCCATTTAGGAATCTGGGGCAAAAATCTGTCAGGGATGATACTTGGTCATGCTGTGAAGGCAGGGGATAGGACTCCATGACCTTTCAAAGTCCCATCCAGTTCTAGGAGATAGGCATCTCTATTCATAAGTAATCTATATAATCATTTTACTCAATATTTTAGAAAAGTGCCTGTCTGTCCTTCTCTGAGTCAGTTTCCTACATGGTAAGAGCTACATAATCATTTTACTCAATATTTTAGAAAAGTGCATGCCTGTCTGTCCTTCTCTGAGTCCGTTTCCTACATGGTAAGAGCTACGACCACCCAATTCAGTATGCAGCTTCCTCTTATAATCTAAAACATGGTCAGGGTTCGGTTGTGCCAAGCCAATGGGGTGTGCATGGAATGGGATTGCTTCTCACCAAACAGAGGGCTGTGATAGCAGGGGCAATTATACTCCAGAATGGCCATCGTGAAGCAGCAAGCAAGCACACTCCAGCCATCCTGACAACCCCAGAGGGCTGATCCATCCGACAGCAAAATACTAACATTTTGACGCTGGTTGGCTAGGATTTGAGTAACAATACACTTAACACACAGCTATACGTTTAGGTTTTGCAGACCATATTTTCTTCCTTGGAAAGTCAAATTGTCATTTAGGAGTTAAGTAAAATAATAGCATGATACACAATTAGCTTCATACTGTGTGGCAGAACTTACCTAAAAGCTGCCACTAACGGAGCATAAACTGAGTCTCCGTCATACACATACAAATGGTCCCAGCTGCATTCTGTAGCGAAGTGACTGAATCGAAGCCTCAGGACTGCATTTGGCCTAAACAAAAGCAAACAATCATATTAAAAAAAACAACCTTACAACAGTCCGTGTGTCCAAACAATTGCCTTGATGTGCAGTTTCACACACAAACTAAAAAAAATCAGTTATTCACCTTACTTTAACCGTTTCAGAGAGGTAACCATGTTAGCGCTTTTGTTAACCCACTTCCTCAGATAAGCAGAGTGGAGAAAAAAGGAGGGCCCTCACAATTAGTAACAGAAAAAGAAGGGGACGTTAAAAAAAAATGTACCTGTCAATTGCAGTGCTGGTGCTAACGAGGCTAATTGAGTGGGCTAGCAGTGTCGCATAATGAGCTTTTAATGTCAGTTGGGCAGGGATGATACAATTTTGTGCGATTGGGAACTTGGCAACTCTGTTACAACCTCAACAGAAGGGTGTTGGTGTGGGAAGATTCCCAACCACCTTTTCAGACTTTAAGAGACCTTTGCAAGTAGGTCAGCCATTCCTCTGAAGTCATTGGGAACTTATGCGTCAACACAGACTGGGAAAGCAAGAGAAGCTCAGAATTTGACAATAGATTTTTTCCCCCCCATGCACCGGGGTACTTTGTAAAGTTAGAGATCTTTGCTTCTAGAATTTTGAGAAAAAAATTACAAATGCAGTTTAGCCCAGCGTCTGTAATCAGGAAATCTGGGGAGTTTGCACTCATAATATTTGAGTCACTTTAATACAAAAAGCAAAATTCTGTTCTGATCTTCTGAACTATCCAATTTTACCAAGGAGTCAAGCCATTGAAATGTAACAGCTAGAAAGTGCAATGTTGACTGTTGTGTTCATGTTCTTTCCCATAATAATTCATAAAAGTGGGTGAAACCAAAGTCTAAATGTGTTCACTAATTCAACTGCGGGCTAAATTACTGTAAATAATACCCAATACCCACTAAAAATTAAGATGTTTATACTTACTTTCCTTCAATGAGCCAGGTGCATTTTGTTTTGTATTTATAATTTCCAGGTCCATCTGTTACAAATCCAGAAGATCCAGTTAGCCTGTAAATAACAATTAGGAAAAATGTAGGTTTCCAATGTGATTAAATACTTTGGAAAAAGTAAACATATTAGTTCCAAAAAATACCGGGATTAAAGCACGCAGCTTTAGGTTTTCATTTATTGAATGGCCATTATAAAGAAAACCCATGCAAATGCATCAGATCGTTCAGAATCTGCTACTGTACTCTTTTGCATGGGCAGTGAGAACAATGGGCCAGGGGTACCCCAAAAACCAGTAATATTCTTGGCCTGGGACCTGGCTCCAGCAAAGTTCAGGGCTGGGTCTCTTCTCCCCAGTCCTGCCTGCCAGCTCTATACAATTTAAAACAGCCTGGGGGGCCTTGCCCCTCTCCCCTGGTCACCTCCACCTATGAGCTGCTGTCGGGGGGAGGGGGATGCCCCAAGGAAGTGCCACACACCCCTCCCATACCCTTGCTTCCCCTATACCTCTTCCAGGCCCCAAACTCTCCCAGAGCCTGCACCAAAGACCCACCCCCCACCTACTTTCCCTCCCAAAGCCTGACCTCACACCCTCCTGCGCCTGAACCCCCTGGCAGAGGCTGCACCCCCTTTCCCTGCCCCAGCCCAGAGCCTGCACCTAGTAGACATACTCCCCCACAGAGCCTTAGGGAGAGAGGGACGCTCGCATGGGGGACAAGTACATGCTCAGGGCACCACCAAAATTTCTGCAAACCTAGCGCCCCTGTAATTTTGGTCAGTACCCCTTCTCGTGACTAGCCAGAGTACCCACAAGTGGCGACAGGAAATGCAAGGTGGTGTTCTCATCTGGCTTCCTACTCAGACCACCAACTTAGATAAAGGGTATTTCTTTCATAACTCTAGACCAGTACAGAAAGAGTAATGGAGGGAGGATGGCTTAACAGAGCAGCCAACAGTGATGGAACAAGGTGCTTGTTTAGAAGCACTGTAGCGAAAACAAATACAAAATGAAAGATTTGTTGAAACAGGCTGAAAAGTTACTTTCAAAAGCAGAGTCTGAACAACTGACTGATGCTGAGCAACATCCTTCTCCAAGAGAGGAGCAGAAGTGCACCCGTGCAACCCCTCCTGGAAGTCTGAGAGAATCCACTGAAATTGAGGGAAAAGAACAAGATCAATCCCAAAACTATGTGGCCCAGTTCGACTGACACACATAAAATGAGATCAAGCAGATTCATTCTTTTAATAAAAAAAAAAAAAAAAGTTGAAAATTGTGCAAGAAGATTTTGGCATTAAAAACATTGTAAGTAGCAATCAATATGTTCTAGCAACATTTTCTGGCAACTGAGCAGTCACAAGATGCTGCCCTGGAGAACGTGCTTGTACAGTATTTTAAAGCTCTCAGAGCAGTGTATTTTGAGAGAGCTGGTTGGGAAAAAGTTACACAGAACCATTTCTGGAGAATGAAGCGCCATCCACATGAAATCACTTTATAAAATTATATTGGTTTCACAGAAACTAGAAAAGTAGTTCTAACTACATTAAAATGTCACATTCTAAAGTTTAAGCAAAAATACTTTCTTCTTTTTAAATTACTTGTTTTGAATTTTAAAATGTCCTATGTTATATATCAAGTAACAGTCAAATGGAAAGGAGATGTTTCAATTTTATTGAAGCTAACTATTTTCGCTGACCCAAAATGAAATTTGTGAAATTTCGTTTCATTGAGAAGTTTCCAATGTGGGGAGTTTGCTCCGAACTAGAACTAAAACAAATGTTGATGTCTCGATTGAATTTCCATTTTCTGCACAGCTCCACATTGTATACTTTCCAGGCTACTATATCTGGGCCCAAAACTTTTAAGCCTGAATTTCAGCACGGAGTTTACTTTTGGGTGATTCAAGCAGTAGCCCAGTTTTCAGAGGTTTGCTAAGCTCCTGCAATGTCTGTGAATTTGAGAGAGAGAGTTTTGATTTTTGATTTTGTTTTTTATTAATTATTCAGTGTTTCTGGAAAGTCAGATGATCCATTTATATTTTCTAAACATGGACTCTGGGATACCTAATTTTAGGCACTAATATTAGAAAAAATTCTCCCTTTTTTCTATACCTTAATTTTTTCAAAACAGTGTCAATGGAGAGTCTGAAAATCTTCATGTTTTAAGTATGCTGCTGTTTCAGCTCTGAAGGCACTTTTCCTGCAACTGATAGTAAGCAGACTTAGGAAATAGAGTAAATCTCATAAGCAGAAAAAAAATTTTGCCATGCTCTCCAACAACTATCAGCCTTTACCTGATCATTATGAGCGACCTGCTATGGAAAACTATTACTCTGGCATTCACTACACTCAAATTATCAAGATAAGATAATGCCTCAAAACATTCCAGGAAACCTTTGTGATCCAGTGTTGACAGAACTTAGACTCATTTGAATAATACAAAAACAAAATGAAATGTGAAGTTTAAAAAAAAAAGGCTTAAACAAACAGGTTTTTGTGGTAAAAAACAGGATCTGAATACAAATCTGTGAATGATTTACATCTATCCCTAACCTTTGGAACATATTTCATTAAACACAAATAAACCCAAGTATACCAACACAGAGTTCAACACTTTCCAAAGCAAATGAAATGGAAGCTAAAGGGTCCTAACTGCACTCTCCTATACACATGGTATTGTATGAACAACCCACATGATGGAGATAAGGAGAAATACTTGGCACCAAAGCAAGCTAAAGATGGAGTCTTGTCCTTATATTCAAGTAAAACCAGCTGATAAAAAGTTAAATTGGGTTCCAAATACTAATGAAAAACAAAAACTTAGAATTTGTTTAGTAATGGTCCTCTGTCCACACTACACAATAATCTACCATATTTAACCCTTGTACTTGTGCCTAGTAGTGGTCCAACATGCCACCATGTCCTTAAACACGGCTTTATTTTCCCTATGTGAACAAGATCAAGCATATGATCTAGGCTAGGAGCAAGACACCTGAGTTCTGGGAAACTGTGTTGTGTAGTTGGCCAAATATAATACGACAGTTACAACCATAAGATGTTTTTACTGACATATTATTGGGAATAAAGGTCATTTGAGTCCTTTCCGGACACTGATTCTCACAGAGTTAGACAAGTATTTTGTATTCTCCTAATTTTATCACCTAGATACAATGGTGATGGACACCCTACAAATGAACTAAAAAGTTGTATCCATATACCAATCCATAACTTTGAATGCTGAGTATAGTGGCTGTTCTATCCTAAATTAACAGTGCATTACATCATTCTGTTTAAAAAAAACAACCTTAAAAACAATAGTCTGGTAGCACCTTAAAGACTAACAAAACATGTACAGTAAAACTCCATTAGTCCGGCATCCAATGCTCCGGGACTCCTGATGGTCCGGCACCATCAGGAACCCGGAAGTGCTGGGGTAGCCGGACAGGCTTCCCCCATTCAGCTGCTGCTGAAACTGACCAGCAGCTGAATCAGGGAAGCCGGGAGCAGAGCAGCTTGGGTGCTGCCGGGGTGGGCTCGTAGTGCTGCCCCTTGGGGCTGCGGGACCAACCCAGCAGCACCCCAGCTGCTCTTGGGAATTTAATTGGGGGCTGAAATGGATCAGAAACTCATTTTCATAATGACACCTAATATACATTAGGAAATTATGCTTATTGAGATTGAAATTTACCTGACATCAAGCACATAAAAAGAAATATAAATTCACAGCCTGTGTAATCACAACGTAGTTTTCAAGCGTGGCGGGCCCACCCGGGCAGCCCCCCAGCTGCTCTATTGCAGGCATCCCCGATTCAGCCGCTGCTGAAACTGATCAGCAGCAGCTTAATCAGGGACGCCTGGGGCAGAGCCGGACTATCGTAAGGGGGGGCTATGAGGGGTCTGGGGTGGCATCCCCTCCCACCCCACTCCAGACCCCTCATAGCCCCCCCCTTCTGATAGTCTGGCATATCTGATAATCCGGCACCCCCTGGGTCCTAAAGGTGCCGGATTATCGGAAGTTTACTGTAGATGGTATCATGAGCTTTCGGGTGCATAACCCACTTCTTCAGATGAATGGAATATTAAAAGTCCAGAGCCAAGAGTAAATAAGGGAAGGGAGGAGAGGAAGGAGAAAAAAAAAAAAAGGACAGTGAATAGATTCTTTTTTCTTCCTCTTCCCTCCCACTCCCCTACCCCCATTCCCTTATTTATTCTTGGATTTAGCAATTCCAGCTCTCACAATCTCAGATTATGAGACTATGAGAAAGACCTTTTTTAACATACTCAACTGCATATTCACAGCATTGCTCTAAAAACAGACTGCTGTCAGGCTAATACATCAACTCAGCAATTACTTGAAATGTCAAGTAGCCATTTTGCTAACAATAAAGTGCATAAAGTAAAAAAAAAATCCCAAAAGCCTAAACCAACTGCACTACAGTAGATCTACCACTTAGTCACATACAGGCAGTCCCCGGGTTACGTACAAGATAGAGACTGTAGGTTTGTTCTTAAGTTGAATTTGTATGTAAGTCGGAACTGGCGTCCAGATTCAACCGCTGCTGAAACTGACCAGCGGCTGACTACAGGAAGCCCGAGGCAGAGTTGCTCTGCCCTGGGCTTCCTGGAATCAGCCGCTGACCAGTTTCAACAGCAGCTGACTTGGGGATGCCTGGGGTTCTTAAGTTGAATCTGGATGTAATTTAGAACTGGCGTG